TTTGTTTGTTTGTTTTTTTCTGAAACCCAACTCAATTGCTAGGCACGAATAAAGCTAACAATAAGCATAAACACAATTTCAAGACTATGCATAGGAGTGAAAATCTGACGAGTCGTCGTTGTTTTTTCGTGGACAAGTTGAATACAAGAATACAAAAACTTCTCGTATCATCAGCACGATCCTTCTGGAAGGCAGGCACTCACATAGAATCCGTTTTTCTTCAATTCGTTGATGACGATCGATGTGATCGAGCTTTCGTCCTCTTCACGGGAATCTTTTTGCTGCTGCTCGGTTTTGAATTCTTGCGGAGCTAACTCATTTTGGAGCTCCATTGAATTCGAAGGCGATTGCGGTTNNNNATCTCTTCAATTCCGATTCAGCAATCAGACGCAAGAGAAAGCTTGTGTTACAGAAAATGACCACAATCAACTCCATTATCACAACGTGACAGCAACGGTTTGCCTGAGGATTCGTGGAGACAAAACAACAAAAAAAGTTCCAATGATTCATAAAATCGCATACGGTTCGTTTGCGATGATAAGTCTAAGACGATCGCCCGACACCAGTCCAATACTCGCTGCAGTGAGCTTAGTGTCAGCATCGCGCGGTAATTCCTGACTACCGCACATCAACGAGAAATCACTGGAAGCGTATATATTCCCATGGATTTCGAACAAGTGAAGAAAAGAGATCTCTGTGGAAAGTGAAGAAAGAGAAACTCGATTGATGAATCAAACAAGTGGATAGATCACTTAAAGAATATGCGGATAAAAGGAAAGTGTTCATCAGAACGCAGATATTCGAATGGTCTTACTTTCTCAATGAGAACCGTCGAATAATGTGTACGCGAAATTCTTGAAAATTCATCGCGTCAACATCATCGAAAATTTCAATACGTCCATCAGTGGACGATTTCACTGAGACTCTCATTCTGAAATTATTTGCTACAAACAATGAACAGAAAAAAAAAGGTCGATTGGAATATAACGTCGCACTCATAATTATTTCTCGTTGCTTACTTTAATTATCTGTCGTGTTATTTCGAAAAAACAACGGTAATCAGTTGAAAGAATTTCACTCAAGTCGAAATCAACTCAAGTGGAACATATCGATTCATGCTCATATCCAGTACAAAACACGACGTTTTGCACGACAGAAACCGCAAAATTTTCTCGCGGCTCTTAGTTGCTGGATGAAGAACAACACTGAAGCAATGTGGACATATCTGCTAAAGAAAGGAATAAACCCATTTCCTTATCAATATAATATCACTAAGATGAACCGCCAGTTCATCTGATGAGTCCATTTGAAAGACTGTTTAAAAACGACAAACGGATATATCGAATAAGATTCCAATGAAGAAAATGGAATTTCAACAGGAAAGAAACACTGTGAATTTGTTGAATAAGAATTTATGCATCTTCAAAGACATCATTACAAATAGCCAATTTCATAAAACAGGCAACAATGAACGAAACTGAATGAAAACTTTTAAAACTGACACAGATTAATAAAAACTTAACAAAATTTTTCAACAACAACCACTACGGGGTTAACAATAAATCGAAAATAACAAACAAATACGCTCAAATGTAATTCGGTTGAATAACGATGAAATTTGATTTTCTCGATGATGAATTTAAGCCAACATCGAAATAACAATGAAAATGCTAATTTTTTGTCATATTAACGATAAGCAACGTAAGCAATGAAGCGACCACAGGAATGAAGGTAAACTAATGATCTGCTAATCAAATGAATAAATAACGATAGCACTAAATGGTTTCACTTCATCCGTACACAACATTGTTTGGAAATTCTCAAGCTGAAGCAAAACATGAATTTGAACGGAACGTATGCAGTATGCTGATTTCAGATTCTATGAACCTGTGAGGTACAGCATCCGAGAATCATAGGTAATATAATCTAATTGTTAGTGAAGAAAAACTGTTGATAACTAGTGCAGCAACGTTTCACTCGAACAATTTTTCGCAACTTTACATCAAATCAACTTCGCAATTTGTCATTCCGTTGCTGTCAATTCAGACTCTTCATTCACGTCATCAGATGCTCCACCATTATTCGACTGTGCCATTTTGCTCATATCAGTCCTACAAAAACATTGTGTAAAATTTGTATTATTCAAAATTCTCTTTCAAAGTAACGCAATACGAGTTGATAATAATTTCCGAAGAAAGAGTTGCCTTCCTCTCAAAGTTTATAAATGAATACATTTGTTCTCTTCACATTTGTTCAAACGAATGTCTTCTCTATCGAAAGTCAGATAAACTGAGTGTAACCCAAAAGAAAACCAACTCTTCAAAAAAAAAAAATCATTTGCATGAAATAACTAAAAGGTTCCCTTTTATCACTGCTTGCACTGCACTGAGAACGATCAAACATAATGAAGTATCGAACTGTACATCATATAATACATCCCGCCACAGAATGACTGCTTCACATTCATTGTTGATTCAGATTGGTGTCTTATAGCCAATTCATCAATAAAATATAATAAATGTGGCAGTGTAAAACTAAAAAGTTATTCTCTACCTGGTCAATTGTCTTAAAGCAACAGTTGCATAACAACCGGATTGTAGCGAGAATGTGAGTGAAACAGCCTTCAGATCACCACTGCCAATTTTGTCTTCATCATATTCACCGTTCAAATCCGGTTGTAATCGTGTATCGTTATCCGGATATTTCAACAGTTCGTATGCAACATTCTCAACTTTCACAATCATTGGTCGCAGCACACCTCCAATCGCGTATTGACTGCAAAACGATTGAAAATGCAACGAAAGATACATCAGCAAAGGAATCATATGAAAAATCGTTTTTCCAAATTTGAAAAACCGAAACATCAACAATCGAGGGTGAACGGTGTTGAAATTTTAAAAAAATGATGTGCAAAAACTTATAAATATTAGCAAATGACAAGGAACTTTACCTCTCGAGCGATCTGAACATTTCACGTGTTACACCATCCTCTTGCATACACTCCTCGTACCAATCGGAAACTGAAATTGATGGATTACGACNTCTCATTTGAATCCATGTGAAGAAAATTAAATCAATTGAAAAACACGAAAACGTTTGAGGGAATATAAGGAAAAAACAATCAAGAAACCTTCATTTTCAGGTAAGTTCATATCGGATGATGGAAGCGGTAAGGCAACACGAGAAATATCATCAGTTTCTTTCAGCTTCGCTCCTTCCACATCGATGTCACCTTCCAAAACGCTGCATCCGTATTTTTGAATTCGACGTGATACTATCTGAAGTGAATTTCGTTGTCTTACGAATGGATATATTGAATGGATTAAGAATATGAATTTGTATACTGTGCGCTTCAGCAGACACATAACAATGCACACAAAATCCCCAATTCCAAAATGTGACTAATGATCAATATGACGGTCAATTCTTAGTGAAGAAGAAATAAGTACGACGTGGATAATATGATAATGAAGATGATTGCGTAATGAATATGATCAACGTTCCGCAAACTGCTTGCGACATTCTGAGGTAACTTAACAACTGAAGGGG